TCAAAGGATTTGGCTAAAAATGTGTATTTGGGGGGGTGAAAATCGTACACAAAAATTTCAACATATCTACAAATTTTAGAATTTTCTCCATGTAATAGTACCCCCACAAGTCCACCTTTTGGCGGACTTATGAGAACTCTAATGCACAATCTGAGGTGTTAATGGGTTTAAAAAAGTAATTAACTTTGGCTATTCTTAAATCATTCAGCCCTCAATTATGAGGTGTACAAAATACAGTAAATTCCAAATTACTGCTCATTTGACTAAAAACTAAAAATTAATCGACCAGTACATGAACACTTATAACAGTCATATCTTTGAATAATTATGCTTTGACAAATATGCATAATAGACTAAAACTACGGGCCGGCAACGCGGACAGGGTCAGCTAGTATATATATATATATATATATATATATATATATATATATATATATATATATATATATATATATATATATATAGATATTTTAACGATTCAAACAAATTCGGAATTGTCTCTTTTCCGAAAAGGATAATATCCAAAAAAATCGCGTAAAAATGTGATATATTAACATTTTCATTTTGACTTTTGAATTGTACAATAGTAATGTTTTATTTTGCATGATTTTTTTCCATTTTGACTTACTTTTTTCTAATGTACATTTGTAGCGTTTTTTATGTTTTATTTTTGAATTCGAATATTAATACCAATTTATTTAATTGACTTGATTTCTTGAGAACTGAAATTGATGGCGGGTTACATGGAAGTGTAGTACCGAATTATGCGGTGGCGAAACGGAATAGAGGATATCGAAATAATTAAACGCGGTCACACCAAAGTTAAAAGATAATTACTTTTTCAAAATCGCCAAAAACTCACGAAAAAGAGATCTCATTGCACAAATTCTGAAATCGGGAAAAAATCGAAAAAAAAAATTTTTTTTCAATGGAATCGATTTTTAAAATAATAGTACATTCTATTGACAAACTTTGTAAGGACCTTTAAACATTTGCTGTAAAAAATCGGCTAACAAGTTGAATATTTTTACAATTTGTTATTCTTTTTTTGTCAATTTTTTTTTTTTCAATTTGCATTATCATATTGAATTCAATTGATTTTTTGTGAACAAAATGAAGAATAATTTTTCACTATACAATTTTTCACCAAAATAAGTGCGAAATAGAATGTAAACTGACATCTACCTTTCAACTCCAAGGCCTATATCGTGGTTCAGCTGGAAGATGCGAACACATTTAAATAATCAAAAATGACCGAAAAAGCCTAATGGGCCTCATCTCAAAGCGTGAACATGCCTTTTTTATGTGACAATAATCCGTCCAATGAGAGCTCAAAATGCAAAATTCTTTGGGAGTACAATCAGGAAAATACCAAATATAAAAGGTGCAAAATAGTAGAGCGAATGGGACTTTTATTAAGAAAAGGATTTCTATCCTCCCAGAAATTCTTCCCAAACATTCAAGATACCTTAAATCGCTTTTGCAGGTCATGATATAGATCATAACTCACGGATAAGGGTACAACCCGATTTTATATTTATATAACCATCGTATGATTCAAGCTATTTTTGGGGTCTTAGTCCCTTTTTATTTTTTGGCCCTTATTAGGCATCTTTGTGTCTAAGGGGGTACAGAACCTCTTCGCATAAAATTTGAAATTTTCAGAGTAGGGCCCATATTGGTCTTGAACACATTCATCAATTGATTTGGCTAAAAAATTTTGTTATGCTACCCTGGGGAAGGGAACCATCATACAGATAATTGCCACATAGGAATTATTTAAGTAAAGTCTCCACATTGGAGTATCCCAAGTCCACTTTCACACCTAATGTGTGGTCAGAAAGGAAAATTTTGTATTCTATTGAATTTGTAACTCCCAAGAGAATATTGGTTGGGAACGTAGATTTGGAATGTACATCTATATGAAATAAATTGTGGGAACATGAACAAATTACAAATATAAGAAAGTAGTACGGGACCGAATATTTGTTGAATCGACATTGAATTATACTATGATGAAAAATATGGACTTTATGGGGTCTCCAATTTACAATTTAAATGGAAAATAAAAAAATTCCCATCTTACGGTAATGGGTGTGAAATACCTATAATTTTGAGTTGGCCTCTATTTGCCATATTGCATTATAAGGGGTAGAAGAAAGTTTTCAAAGTAGGTCGGTGTTTCGGAGTAGTGCCCATATAAAGGTACCTCCTGATTTTACCATATTTCAAAGGATTTGGCTAAAAATGTGTATTCGGGGGGTGAAAATCTTACACAAAAATGTCAACATATTCACAAATTTTAGAATTTTCTCCATGCAATAGTATACCCTCAAGTCCACCTTTTGGCGGACAAACAGACCGACATGGTTAGGGGGACTTATGAGGACTCTAATGCACAATCTAAGGTGCTAATGGGTTTAAAAAAGTAATTAACTTTGCCTATTCTTAAATCTTTCAGCCCTCAATTATGAGGTGTACAAAATACAGTAAATTCCAAATTGCTTCTCATTTGGCTGTAAAATTTTGCTACGATTTTTACCATACTAAAAATTAATTTGATCCCTTACATGGGGATAAGATTCATATATACTTTTTAATAGATTTGTATAGCACATCCACACATTTGAAGCACACGGTTTAAATATTGAAGTCCACGGCTTATAAATGGGTACAGATATTTTAAAACACCTTTTAATCGACCAGTACGCAAACACTTACATCAGTCATATCTGTGAATAATTATGCTTTTAAAAATATGCATAATAAACAAAAACTACGAGCCGGCAACGCGGACCGGGCCAGCTAGTATATATATATATAAAAGAAAGTTGTGTTAGTTACTACGCTTATAACTTAAGAACCGCTGGATTGATTTTAACGATTCATACAAATTCGGAATTGTCTCCTCTCCGAAAAGGATAATATCCAAAAAAATCGCGTAAAAATGTGATATATTAACATTTTCATTTTGACTTTTCAAATGTACAATAGTAATGTTTTATTTTGCATGATTTTTTTCCATTTTGACTTATTTTTTCTAATGTACATTTGTAGTGTTTTTTATATTTTTTATTTTTGAATTCAAATATTAATACCAATTTATTTAATTGACTTGATTTCTTGAGAAATGTAACTGATGGCGAGTTACATGGAAGTGTAGTACCGAATTATGTGGTGGCGAAACGGAATAGATGATGTCGAAATAATTTAATGGAATCGAATTTTAAAATAGAAGTACATTCTATTGACAAACTATATAAGGATCTTTAAACATTTGCTGTAAAAAATCAGCGAACAAGTTGAAGATTTTTTCAATGTGTTATTCTTCTTTTGTCAATTTATTTTTTTTTCAATTTGTATTATCTAATTGAAAAATTTTCACTATATACAAATTTTCACCAAAAAATGAAATAAGTGGGAAATACGATGTTTACTGACATCTACCTTTCAACTCCAGGGCCGACATCGTGGTTCAGCTGGAAGATGCGAACACATTTGAACAAACAAAAATTACCGAAAAAGCCTAATGGGGCTCATTTCAAAGCGTGGAACTACTTCTTTCCTTTCACAATAATCCGTCCAATGTACAATCAGAAAAATACCAAATAAAAAGGGTGGAAAATAGTAGAGCGAATGGGACTCTAAGTAAGAAAAGGATTTCTATCCTTCCAGAAAATCTTCCCAAACATTCAAGATACCTTAAATCGATTTTGCCGTTCATGATATCGATCATAACTCACGGATAAGGGTACAACCCGATTTCATATTTATATAACCATCGTATGATTTAAGCTATTTTTGGTGTCTTGGTCACTTTTTTAATATTTTGGCCATTGTTTGGCATCTTTGTTTCTAAGGAGGTGGAGAACCTCTTCGCATAAAGTTTGAAATGTTCAGAGTAGGGCCCATTTCGGTCTTGACCACATTCATTAATTGATTTGGCTAAAAATTGTATTTATGCTACTCTGGGGTAGGGAACCATCATACAGATAATTGCCACATAGGACTTAATTTAAGTAAAGTCCCCACATTGGAGTATCCCCAAGTCCACTTTCACATCTAATTGGTGGTCAGAAAAGAAAATTTTGTTTTCTATTGAATTTGTAACCCCCAAGAGAATATTGGTTGGGCCACGTTTTGGTATAACCCTTATATAAATGTATCCCTGATTTCAGCTGTGACCGTGGTGTTGGCCACGTTTTTCAACTGATTTGGCCATTAATTGCTGTATTTAGGCTACTTTGTGAGTAGAGAACCATCTTACAGAAAAATGTCAACATACGTAAATATTTTGGTACAGTCCCCATATAGTCTCCAGGCCCGCCGATCTATAGTGATGTTTGCCGATTGGCGGACAACAACGCGGGTATTGTTTAATCGTCATTGAATTTTACTATGAACAAGAACATAGACTTTTTGGGGACTCTAATGCGCAATTTGAGGTGCTATGGTAATGGGTGTAAAAGCGTAATTAACTTTGACTATTCAGAAATTATTTTGCCCTCCTTCCATAGTTATTTATTTCTATTTAGTCGAATCAATATTTAAATTGTAAAATGAGCTAGATTTGTGAAATATTATGCTATGCAAAATTTGCATTAAAGACTAAAACTACGGACCGGCAACGAGGACCGGACCATATATATATATATATATATATATATATATAATATTGATATATATATATATATATATATATATATATATATATGTATGTATATATATATATATATATATATATATATATATATATATATATATATATATATATATATATATATAATATATATATATATATATATATATATATATATATATATATATATATATATATATATATATATATATATATATATATATATATATATATATATATATATATATATATATATATATATATATATATATATATGGAGGGAATAATAAATACTTCAATCAAGCAGTATATAAAGAATTATGATATAATTTCATAATGTTAAAAGCATTTGTTCACTTACCTTCCTTCCATATCCTCCAGATCTTGATTAACCTTTTTAATTCTCTTTTCTGCAGCATTTAGTTCATTCCTGCAGTTTATGAGCTTTCGTTTTCTATCTTCCACAGATATTTCTTGCAATGCTTGTATTAATTCATCTCTGCGTCTAAACAAGTTATTAACTAACAAATTATCCAGTTTATTTTTTATGACCTCCAGTTGCATTCTTTGCGTAAATGCCTCCTTATTTTCTTGATTTAATTTTCGAATGTCTTCATTAAGTTGGTCTATTTCTTTCTGATCATGGACGGAAAGTGTAGACATTAATTCTTGATTTAATTCCATTTCTAACCCAGACTTCGTACTATTCATGGCATCCAAGCTAGCCTTGCATTGGGCAAGTGATCGTTCTTTTGGGGTTCTATATTTTTCTATCCGGACTAATTCTTCTTTCATCAAACGAATTTCTCCTTGTACCTTTTCAAAAATATCTTTAGATTTCCCCTGTTTTGTCTCAGTTTTTTGCATTTCTGAAACAACAGCATTTATGTTGTTTTCTACTATCTTTAGATCATTACGAATTTTGTTAAGCTCTTTTTCAAAGTCTTTTATTTGAGCTGTTAATTCTGTCCTCTTTTTCTGCATTTCCAAACGAGACCGCGAGGTGTTAAAGTATCCGCCAGTAAGAGAACCTTTGGATGAAACTTGGTCACCATCTAATGTTACACAATCCAACCCTGTAGATTTTGCTAATTCAGTTGCTCTCTCCAAATTGCGACATATTAACGTTTTCCCAAATATGTAACACAGAGCCTTTCCATGTTGCTCATCATACTTAAGTTTAGATATCATTGGGATTGAGTCTGGATCATCTGGATATTCATGATTTTTCACTTGCAATCTATTAAGAGGCATAAAAGTAACTTCTCCTGGCAATTTCAGCTTGTTCATCTCTTTCAAAATTTGTGTTCCAACTTTATCAGATTCAACGATGTGATGAAAAAGTCTATTTCCAGCTGTGACTTCCACTGCAGTGTATATTGTCTTATCACAGCTAAAATTTTCAATAACCGGCCCGTAATAAGCATGGGCAATATCAGCGTATTGGCCGCCTTTCTCTAGAAAATTATCTAAGACTTTCCTAACAGAATCGCGACCATTTAAAATCGGTTTTCCCGCCATACTACGGAGTGCTTGATCGGTTTTTGACAATTCTTCCTTATGCGATTGTAGTTGTTGTGTCATTTGAGTTTCCTTCCGCCACAATTCGTTTCTTGTAGCTTGGTAATGATCTTTAGTTTTTTTAAGTTCATAATACTTCTTATTGTGCTCATCTATTTGATATCGTAACTGTTCCAATTCAGTTGAGTTTTCTTCTATTTTTTTGCCTAAATCCTTTTCTGCATTTGCGTCCTTTTTAAGATCCTCCACCAATTTCGAATGGTGGTTAATTTTATCCTTAATTTGTTTGCTTATAGATTTAAGCTCGTTTTGGATCCAACGATCACGTTCTTCTCGAGATGAAAATTGAGATCCACGACCTTGTTTTGCATAAAGTTCCTTCCTTTTTTGTTCTTTTAAAGCTAACTCACGTGAACATTCTTCTTCTTTTCGCTTCATGGCTTCATACTTTGGCTTTACCTCTTCTAACTCTCTTTCCTTTTCACTGATCGTCACCTTCAACTTCTTTAATTCCTGGTCAGCTCGTTCTTTAGATTTGTTGTCACCTTGCACTTCATCATTCAGATCAATTATAGTTAGATCTAGTTTGGTCTTCTCCCGTAGTAACTGTTGCTGCTCGGTTAAAAGTATGGACCTTTCTTCCTTGGTGGTTACTACATTTTTTTTTGCATCCTTAAGATTTTTTTGGATTTCCTTGATTTTTTCTTGAGCTTTCTGAATTTCAGTGTTATAAACTTTCTTCTTGTCGACAGACGTTTTACGTTGTTGTTGTATATCATCCAATGCCTTTTTAGTTTCCTTTAACTCTGTTTCATGTATTATATACTCTAAAATTCGACGCGCTTTATCCCATTTTTGATATTCTTTAAGTTCTTCCTTCTCTTCTTCAAGAGTCTTTAGTCGATCCTCAATTGTTTTAAGATACTCAGAAATCTTTTCTAATTTTCCTTCTGTTTCCCGTAGTATGTTTAGAGATTCTTCCTTTCTTTCATCGTATACACGAGTGCCAGCTACTTCACGTAACAATTTAAGTCTGTAAGAGTCCGCTGCCGTTGCCATCTGATTTATTTTTCCTTGTTTTACGATGTAGTAAGGATTAGAATTCGAAAATCCTGCGGATTCCAACAAATTGACTACCTCTGTCCTTGGAACGACTTTTTTATTAAGAAAGTATTGGTCTTTTTTAGCTCCAATGACCCTTCTCAAATAAATTTCGTCCTTATCAATCTATAAACGAAAATAAAAAAGTTTTACCTTTTAATCTTCTATCTTCTATATATATAAAAATCAATTGTTGTTTGTTGGTAACGGAATCAGTCGAAAACGGCTGGACCGATTTGCATAATTTTTTGTACAAACGTTCGTCATACCCCGAGTTAGGTTTTTAAAGAAAAAAAAAATATTGACCACGCCTACTTTTACGCCCACTATCTTGATTCATCTAAAATCTTTATATTTGCCAGATAATGAAGATATCGGTTTGAAAATTATTACACGAGATACTGTTGACTTTCCTCCAAACTTAGGAATTTATGTGGGCGCTAGGAAACTGACCACGCATACTTCTAATCTATCTATATATATAAGGAAGTTGTGTTAGTTACTACGCTCAAGAACCGCTGATATGATTTTAACGATTTACACAAATTCGGAATTGTCTCTTGGCAAAAATGATAAAGTTTTAAAATTTTCATTTTGACTTTTGAAGTGTACAATAGTAATGTTTTATTTTGCATGATTTTTTTCCATTTTGATTTACTATTTCGGAATGTACATTTGTAGTGTGTTTTTTTTTTTTTTTTTTTTTTTTTTTTTTGAATTCTAGTATGATGTGTAGTCTTTTTGGATAGTAGAAAGCGACGAAAATTATGGAGTGGCGGAACTGAATAGATGAAAAGAGCATATTGCACTGCATAAACTCTAAAATAGGGAAAAAGTGAGAACATTTTTTCAATGGAATCAAATTTCAAAATAATAGTGAGGATCAAACTTTCTAAGGACCTTTAAATATTCGGTGTAAAAAACCAGCGAATAAGTTGAAGATTTTTTTCTTATAACTCAAGAACGTTTTGACGGATTTTCACAATTCATACAACTTCAGACTGGAATCTTGGAATGCTGGACTGGAATGCGTAAAATATGGCAATAAAAATATAAAAGGAAAAATCCTTTTGGTGTGAAATTTTTTCAATTTAAAAACTATATAGAAGAACACGTGGACCTACCTACTTCTTTCACATGACAATAATCCGTCCAATGAGAACTCAATATGCAAAATTCATTGGGACTGCAATCGGTGAAACACCGAATATAAAGGGAAAAGAATTTCTATTCTTTCAGAAATTCTTCCTAAACTTTCACGATACCTTAAATCACTTTTGCAGTTCATGATATGGGCCATAACTCCCGGATAAGGATACAACCCGATTTCAAGTATATCTTACATTTTAACCATATTTTCATACTAATTTCGGCAAATGTTAGTAATTTGGGAAGAAACCATCCATGCAAAAACTGATCACGTTTTGTATAACCATCATATGATTTAAGGAACCGAACATTTGTTTAATCGTCTTTGAATTATACTATGATAATATATATGGAAATAATTCATATTACTTTAAAAACAAGTAAAAAAATTAAGTTCGGCCGGGCAGAATTATTACTATCATCCATCTGAGGGTAAAGGAAACATTTTTATATAAAAGTATCTAAATTCAAGCGTGTTTCATTTTAAACTTCATATACCAGTAAGACTGTTTGGATAATGCTTAGTTAACTTATCAAAAACAACATAAAGTGAATGAGGCCGTTATATGGGGCCATACCAAAACGGGAACCTCTGTGGACAATTTTATACTTCAAGGATTGTCATCTATCAAACCTTGTAAAATACCATATTTGAAACAATTATACGCGTAAATGTGTAGATTATCAACATACCCAATATAGGTAGGTATCGTTATATGTGTTAGACAAATCCGAGGAGAAATGTGGCAAAAATCATCAAAATACCGAATTTCGAGAGATACCGTTATATGGGGACTATACCAAAACTTGAACCGATAGATCATTTTCAATACCAACCATCCTATACACAACACAAATTTTTCATCTAAATTTTGACGCTATACGTCAAATAATGTGAGCTGTATCGTAATTTAAACAAACAGACATACAGACGGACAAATCGACTTAGAATTTTATGCTGATTATGAATATATATGCATATTTAATAGGGTCTATGACGAACATTTAGTGATGTTACAAATGGAATGAAAAGTTAATATACCCTCCTTTCCAAGGTGGATGATAAAATAGCATTAAAGACTAAAATTACGGGCCGGCAACGCGGACCGGGCCAGCTAGTATTCATTATATAAAATAAAGTTGTGTTATTTACTACGCTTATTACTCAAGAACCGCTGATCCGATTTTAACGATTCAGACAAATTCGTGTAAAAATGTGAAATTTGAAATTTTTTATTTTTTGAATTTTTGAAATGTACAATAGTAATGTTTTTTTGAATGATATTTTTCCATTTTGACTTACTATTTTGGAATGTACATTTGCAGTTTTTTTAATTTTATTGAACCGATTTATTGAGAACTGAAATCGCAGGCGGGTTACGTTGAAGTGTAGAACCGAATTATGTGGTGGCGAAACTGAATAGATGATTCGAAATAATTTAACGCGGTCACACCAAAGTTAAAAAATAATTACTTTTTCAAAATCGCTATAAAATCGAATAAAAATATCTCATTTTCTCTCATGAAATTGAATTTCACAATAATAGTACATTCTATTGACAAACTTCGTAAGGACATTTAAAAATTGAAAAAAATATTAATTATATCTTTTATTAAATTAATTAATTTGATAAAAAGTATCTAAAAGTGTTTAATATTGATTTTGCATATCATAGTGATAATTGGTGTAGTGTTTTAAAGCTTGTTTTGTGTTTAAACTAATATCAATTTTCAAATTGTGTACTTTTACATTCTCCTCTTTATCCTGTTTCTTTTGTTACATTAGCTAATTAGTTGTTGTAACATATCTTCTTGCTAAGTTTGTCATCTCAAAAGAGTTTCCAACATTAAAAAAAGAAAATAAAAGAAAATAAAATAAATAAATAAAATATAAGAACTACAGATCTGATCTTATCCAATATTCAATCCTGAAGATATGTAATGTAAGAAAGTCAGTCCGATTCACTTAAAACTGTCCTTGATTACAAAAAACTAATTTATACTTATACTTTAGAGTCTCGTAGATTGTATAATCTTTACCTCCACAAGTTTAAAATACTTTTAAATCCAATCCTAAATCTTGTTTTGTTAACATAAAAGAAAGGTTTCCTCAAAGCCCTCAGCATTGAAATATAACAATAAAGAATTTGTCACAACCACAGATATTGCTTAATGTTTCGCAGATTTTTTGCCACAACCTATTCCAGTACATCTTGCCAAATTAAAGATTCGTATCCTTATAAGTTGTCAAAGGCTGATTAAATTTGTATGCCTTTTCTACAATGTCATGAGGTGTCCAATAGCCTGCGTAGTTTGAAATCGATTAAATTAAATGTAAAAATTAGTTACTGCAGTAATTTCACTGAAAATTCAATCTATATTGAGTCCATATCAGCATGGTTTTCGTAGTGGTCTCTCAACTACAACAAATCTTATGCAATTTACGTCAACAGTAATAAAACGATTTCTTCAGCGTAAACAAACTGATACAATTTATATCGGTTTTAGTAAAGCTTTTGATTAACCATGAACTCCTAATATATAAATTAAATTATATGGGTTTCAACACAAACCTAGTCAAATGGATATCATCTTACTTACAAGATAGATTACAACTAGTTTTGTTTGAAGGGTACCTATCCAAAACGATTAACGTTCCATCGGTTGTTCCGCAAGGAAGTCACCTTACCTAATTTCATAATTTAAACGAAATTGTTAATGTACGCAGATGATGTTAAATTATTCATTTCCCTTAAATGTGATAAACAAGCTAGTTTACTTCAAAACGATTTAGATAGCCTTTTTCAATGGATCCTTGATCCTCTTTCTTGATGGATCCAAAATTAAATTTTAATAGCCATGTAATAACAATGGTAAATAAAGCAAATTGTGTTTTAGGTCTTAGTAAACGTTTGGGCCAAAGAATTTTCTGATCCATATATAACAAAACAGTTATTTACGTCTCTTATTAGACCTATATTAGAATACGGTTCTATTGTATGGGATCCTCAATATGTAAAACACTCAGATAAAATAGAATCCGTGCCTTACGAGGTTTACATTGGAATAGTGATTTTGTTTTGCCTTCTTATGCTAGCAGATAAAATTAATTAGATCGCCTACACTTGAAATCAGACGTATCATGTTGAACTCCATGTTTGTACTAAAAATATTAAATGGTAACATACCTGCAGATTTCCTAATCTCATCTATTAGAAATAATGTTCCGTTTAGATCTAGTGATACTACCAATTTTTATGTACCGATTTTCACCGCACGAATTATTCAATGGGCGAACCTCTTAGTAAAATGTGTGTTGACTCTAATTCTGTGTACTGTAATGTAGATTTTGGTATGAGTTTAGAAGTTATTAAATCTAGAATAATTTTATTTTTAAACAATTAAAATGCGTATTTTATTATCTGACAAACTAGCTGATGAATTAGATTCTGTAGCTGGTTTTCAATTCCCTACTAAATTCCCATTATGCTGCGGATCATGATGTGTACGTGATACCTACAAAAGGGAGGTCGCCCCTCTTCGGCAGGGGTGGGAAAGTGAGGCGTGGGAACATTCGAAGCAAAATTGTCTGCTCTTTTCTGCCAATTTTATATAATGTACGATTTTTTTCACTTTGGCTTATCATATTGAATTCAATCGTTTTTTGTGAACAGAATAAAATATCATTTTCACCATATAAAATAAAGTTTTGTTAGTTAATAAGCATATAATTCTAGAACGGAGGTCTGATATTGACAATTCACACCGTTTCGGAATGATATCTTTAAACGATAAATCCAAAAAAAATGCGTAAAAATATGCAAATATTACATGTTTATATTTATTATTGTGTTTTTTTATGGCTTAAATTGTATGTAAAATAAAGAATATGAAATAAGTGCACAATACGATCTTTCCTAACAAGAATTGGCATCTAGCTTTCCAACCACAGGTCCTACATCGTACTTCAGCTGGAA